AAAAAAAAAAAAAAAAAAAAGAAAAAGAAGAATCTGCTTAATGAATCTTTTAGAACGAAGCATTAAGCCTCCATCATCAACCTGGTTACGGTTGTTTTCAACCGACAGGCCGAGATATCGAGCTCCGATATCTCGAATGAGATCATTTGCCTGGGAGAGTGTTTCTGTTCCTTTGCGTCTCGTGAGAATGAAAGGCAGGTTAACAGCAGATTCGATAAATTATTTAAATTATTTGAATTGTTAAGACCTCTCGCGAGAGACGAGATCTCCCTTTCTTTCTTGGTAGTTTCACGGCGTGCGAGTGTCAGGAAATTCTCGTTTTAGTAAATTGCTCGTAGACCTGTTTCTTAAACGGTTCGAGATTAAAACGAGACGCGGAGGAGGGAAGGAAGTGAAAAGTAGAGGACGAAGGCGAACGAGGAATCAAAAGCTCTTTCGCGTGGTGCGAAAAACTTTTCGATGCCCACGCGGCTACACGAATGCCTCTGCGCGCACGTGGGAAGAGGCAAAGTTGTGTAGCAAAGATGTGATGCAACCGTGGATATAATACAGATGCAAATTTAAGTCGGCAACAGTCGGCATATAATTACACTTTGCTTACGTATCTAGTTTTACGACTGTATAACTTGAATCGAGTGTTGCCTCTTTCCTTCTTTCTTCGAGAGATGCTTTGAGGATCACCGTGTTCAAGATCCTATGACGATTCTCATTTTTGCCGAAGAGTTAGCACGTTCTTGTGCGAAGAACGATTATAAAATTGTTCTCTTCTCGTTATGAAGATTTTATGCACAGTAGAATCTCCCGTACTTGAACGGCCGTTATTCGCATTAACATTTTTATTTCCTTGCTGTAACAACTCTAGCTCTGCGTGACGTGAACTTTTCCGTTGAATTTTATATGAGATAAAAATTCTGTCTCGAAGAATTCTTTGTTTTGAATTAATTGTTTTATTTATTATGTTCGATATGACATTTGGATTGATTGGTTCAGTCATTAAGATTCGAATGCGTGTTTCGCTTCTGTAATTACACACATCGTTGTTCCAAGTACGAGTTGCATTACGAATTGTTAAAGAGACAATGCTCGTGATTTATTTATCATTGTGTGAGATCGTTCTTTTACTGACTCATCGTGAACTGCTTGCAAGTTGCAACGAAGTAACAAAGTTAATTTACGTTTATGCTGCCTTAATGCCCAAATATTGGGGATCCAATCGATAGAACGTGCTACAAAATAAATTCATTTACATCAGTCGTATAAATTTTTCATTTAGTTCACTGGGTGTATCGTAAACATCCCTCTAAATATAAATTCCGTTCGCCTCGCGTAATATTTTCCGGTTCTCGATACACCTATTTGCGCTTACTCGCTCTTTATCAACTGCTATAAATGAAACGTGCACGTGTAAAATATGTGGATAAATTCGTTTTAAATAGATCATAAACCCGCGGTGCTTTTTAAAAACAGAAACTAAACACCCACGACAATTGATATCTTTAGAAACTATCAAGAACGTGGCCAAAGCATATATTTAGTTTCAAAAACTAAATTAAAGCACAGTCTCGATAACTTAAAGGTTGACTGACCCGTGGAATTTTAAAGTCGCAAAGCCTATGAAGAAACTGAAAATGTCACTCGTCGGATTTTTCGTCCCCTCTGAACACTGTCGCGAACGTTTAAACTATGACTATTAGTTAATCTCGTTGCACGTTAATACCAAGAATGTGAGTATCGAACGAAGAAAGAGAAGATCCCTTCACATTTTCGACTCGTATTGCCCCCGTTGAATTATATTCACCCATGTGTGCGTATCATTTCCATCCATTCTGCTCGTTCTACAAAACCTTCAACGCACGAGTGTCCCAATTTTCCCATCGCGTGCCCTCGGTGGAATTCGCCGTCGCGCGAAAAAGAAGATCAAGATCCCTTTATATAGCGTGTCTCTGAAGAACGGTGCAGAGACACCGTCTACTCTTGTTTTCCCGAGCAAGTGCCAGCTCTAACGCTTCTAAACGGCGCTCGGCGTCGCGATATATTTACGCGAACGGGGAGACTTTGGTAAAACGATGGCACCGGTCCAGCAAGCGAACGTTACGGAAATAGAATTTCGGCTGGTGGCGATGCAACAGCAGCTCCTTGTAGACGACGAGCGGTCGGAAGCGGCCAGTACCGTGACGACCAGTTCCCGAGGAAAACCGGAGAAATCGCCTCCGCGAGATCCCACATGAATGTGAGTGCCGATCTTCCTTTCACGAGTGCCATTATATCGGTGCCCGTGCGTGACGTTGCCCGTGGTGCGTCCTTTGTTTTCTACCAGCTCGCCGATGTAACACGGTGCATTGCTCTGCAAACGCTTCACCGCTTTGCAACTTCCATCCATCTTGCTCTCTTCGTCTTTTCCGTGCCTCGAAATTCTCTCGAACGAACGAGTGTACCTTCGTTTCAACGAAACTTCGGAAGGCCGCCTCCTCTCGTGGCAAATAATCGCACCGTGAAGACATCAGAAAAATGCAAAAATGCATTTAGATCGAAGATCTCGTGAAATCTGTTCATCGTGTTTACTTCGAAAAAAGGAGAAAGAAAATAATCTTGAAGAGGCGAAGCATCCTCGATGAAAGGGGCAGGCAGATGAGAACAAACCGGCGGATTTCACCGGTTTTACTTTCGCGAGGTGAAACAGGAAGTGCATCAGTAAGACGCACAATCGATGAGAATCTTCGTGTCTATGCACCGCGGAAGACACGAGAGGATGTGTATACTCTCGTGTCGGAAGTTTCCGCGGGTTTCCGCTCGTGCGGCACCGCGATTTTTTTCTTCCGGCGCAGACCGGAAACCGGGGATTGAAGAGCGGATTGTTTATGAAGACACGCGATTGGCCGCGCTTTAGCAGGCGTGCACGGTTCGCTGACACTATCGCGGCGAAAGCATCTGATTATTCCGCTTCGCGTGAAACTATCGAATACGAGTGAATCGATATTATACGTATAGCACAGCGTTCTCATTTAATTGGATTTTACGTACTCGGTCGCTTGCCTTCGAGATTGCTGCGTGATTTTTGATTACTTGTCAGTGTGAAGTAATTCGACTCTTCCCCCTCCCCTCCCCCATAATTGATATTGAAGTTTCTTTGAGCCTCGGTTCTCTGGACATTTCAGTATAAATCGAGGCTGACGCTTGCTCGTTAACTGGAAGATAATAAAGCTCGCGGAGGGATGTTATTACGTAGTTAGAAAAATGTTTGGAGAAGAAACTCGAGCGGGCAGGGAGGAGCTAGAACTTGGAACGTGGCCAACTTTTGTAGACTTTTGCAATTTTGTCGGGAAATAGAGTTTCGTTGAGCACAGCTTCGAGCTTTCTATCGTGGCAATTCTCGCCTTGAAATTAACTCGTCGCGATCATTGATACCAGGTCGAATGAAATTTATCGGTCCTTTCTTTCTTTGTTTCTCTTTCTTATTTTTATCTTTATTTTCGTCTAGGAGAACACGCGACGATCGTGGCGAAATCTAAATTTACAATTCTTGGGAATCGGATGCTTTGTTGCTTTTTGTAGTAGACGGGAATGGTAACAGTAGAACAAAAGTCAGGAAGGGGCAAACGTTCTAAAGATACAGGAGGGTCTAATTCGAGGGTCTAATTCATGCGTGTGGAACTTACTGCCTGCGACGAGTGGCTGGAACCGCGAAATTACTTCGTTCGTCGAAGCGAATTGCTCTTCTTTGATTTATAAACAAATGTAAATATACTCCTCTGCCCGTGCGGATAAAACGTGAAAGTGAATATAAATGAATGAAATAAATCAAAGGGTCGAAATTAAAAAATCACAGCCTTTCCTTCTTAATTCGTAGATTCACAAGCAAAAGTAATGATAGCTTTTCTCGTTGAGAAAAGAGAAAGGGTAATCGGAATATAGACGATCGAAATATTAAATTCCAGAAAAGTCCGAAGCAAATGTCGACGTGCAGGGTTGAATGGTACGGAATTTGAGAGGTACGATATTCATTCACTTTTACGTATCCGTGTCAACGGGAAGAAATATAGTGTCGCGTGGCTCGGTTTTATTTCGAGACGCGGAACACGATTTTTCCCCAGCAGAAATAGATTCGATTTTCGGCTCTTCCGGCGTAGAATCAGCCGCGTGACGTCATGCTTTCTCGAGGATCCACTCGATAAATCTCGTTTAGCGTAGCCACTCTGCGCCGACAGCCAGTCCATGGTGCGATGACATGAATTCACGTATCGCTTGGCAGCTGAATACGAATTGTTAGCTGTTGCCAGTTTGTCACCCTAATTCCAAGACGCAAAAATCCGCCGCAACGATGCAAACAAACAACGAGAGTCACCGTACTTAACAAAGACTGCGTGAACGTGAATTTTAATTCCTGTAAAAATAATTCTCAATTAATTTCCGATAAATTAGTCAATTTTTACGACGAAGGAAGACTCCCTTGACCTCCTCGAATTCGGCCTTCACTTTCGCCAAAATCTTTCCAACAGCGAGTGTTTTCTGTTACAGAACCCGGGAGCTGAAAAATGGCGCCCGATGGCCATCTCGAACCCATCGACTCGGCTACGCATGGCAAGGTCCATGCCCCACTGGGTACTGGTACGTACGATCTCTCCCCTTTTCCTCGAACCACCCCAACAACAACAACCCTACATATACCCTACACGATTTCTCACCGTGAAAAGACTCAACAGCAAAAGGAAGCGGAGCAGAAGCAACAACGCCGACCACCGACCCCGCCGAAAGCCCCGCCACCGTCGCTCTCCGGAGACTGTGGTGACCCAGACTACGAGATCATCGAATTTCCGACCCGACCGCAAGCACAGAAGTGCTCCTCGACACCGGGCATCACGTACAAATGTGCACTGTGCGGCACCGAGAACGTGTTCGCCCGTTGCGACATTTGCAATGGGAATTACTGCGAGGCCTGCGACGACATGAACCACAAGCACCCGAAAAGAAAGAATCACGTGCGGAGGAGGATCTTGACCGATCTGGCAACGAAGACACGGCCTCCACTTCCGCCGAAGGGAGACAATTTGTCGAGCCCGCCGCCGATCCCGCCGCCAAGGAGAAACCGCAAGAACGCTCAGGTAGGGTGCAATCTGGCCTGAAGCTTTCATCCCTTCCCGTGAATTCTCTTTCAGGCTGACGACGTCTTGTCGACCTTAGGTACCCGTGAGCTTCCTGAAGGCGATGCAGAATCTGTTCGGATGCTCGTTGCTGGATTCCATCGGGGTCAATGGAAACCAAGTTGCGAGGGTCGCGAGTCCCATTTTTTGACAATCCCCGCAATCCACTGTTCCGCTTACTTCTCCCCTTTTAGTTCCCCTTCCGTTCTAGTCAAGATCATTGATTTGATTCTGTTCGGAATCGTGATTGGATCTCGTCGAGAGACTGTCGAGGCTTTGCACGGTTAACAACGAGTCGCAACTTTGTCTCCGGTGAGCTCGAGTCGGTGTTGTTGTTTCGTTATATAAGAATAGATGTTGCTTGTCACTCGTTTCTTAGCTGCGCACGACCGCACTGACTTCGACTTCGGCGCCGGTCTCGTTGAGATTCCTGCGAGAGAACACGTCACACCGAGGCAACGTGAAGATTGTCACTCGAGCGCCGTCAGTCGCATCGAGCTTTAAACAATTGTTCCACAGACGCACCGACGGATTTTATAGATCTTTATCTTTACTTTATTGTATATCGACGTTGTTGTTTCTTTCTAATACACCACGTTACCGCAAAAACATTACTGCCGTATTCACTGATACCCGATTCACTCTTTCACTCTTTGTTCGACACGTAACGTAACGGCGGGAGAACAACACGCCGGTGAATATGGCAGGACACGATGAACACGGTGATCATACACCGTTTCGTATATTTCCCGTACCGTTACTAGGAAACGAAATCATCTTGTGATGTACATGTAAATACTTGATTTTGTTCGCTAAACACACCCAGATACATTGTCACACCAGATCAGTTCATTATTTTCAGCTTGCAGCAATGGACTTTGTCGCCACTCCTTTTTGCCACTAACGCAAGAATAAAAATCAAACCATTCGATCTGTCACGTTTCATTATAGACGTTGTTCGATTTGCCAAATTTCACAGTTATTTAAGTTGTCAAGCGTTCTCGATCCGACGAGGAACTTCCTTTAATTTATTTTCTCTTCTACTAACGCTTTGTTTATCATCGATTTAGCCTCGCACGTCGCCGCAATTTAATTTTAGCGCTGCTGCCTTCAACCGCGAACACGCGCCATCCCTTTTTCTCTCTCTCTCTCTCTCTCTCTCTTTCGAATACTTTTTTCCATCGTCGTCCATCCGTAGATAGAAAGAAAGAACGAAAGCGACGATCACGGCGAAAAATAATAAAAAAAAAAAAAAAGAAAAGAAAGCGGCAACGTTCCCAAACGACCGTGTAATAAAGTTCAGGTTTCGCGCTTAGGCTAAATCGACGCAAAACCAGGGACCCACGAATCTCTCCTTGATCGAGAGAGTCGGCAGCTTGAAGCGAGCTCTTCCAAACACCACCAGGCCACTGTCAGCCACGCTTGACGCGAAAACAGTATCGAAATCCATGCAGTCTGTGAATACCACCGTCAACGATGGCATAGGATCAGGATCAGGAACTGACAAAATGTCCACGCTCCAGGTAAGCCGTTTCTCTCGATAACATTAAACTAGTGCATATGAAATGTTGTTGTTTTTTTTTTTTTTTGTTTTCTTCGTTCTTCTTTCAAACGTTATCGAAACGTTAAACGGTGGCCAGCTTCTTAAATCGTGAGGCATGAAGAGTGAAAGGATTAAACGTGCACTAGTAACGTTCATTCACGAATATGAATTTCGTAGAAACGACAATTCGTATGCTAATGTAAAACGTTTAATGAATATTTTACACGTTCCTCTATTATTCATTGGCAGCTCTTGGCATTTAATGAATGTAACTGGTTAATTATTCAACGGGCGCCATTTACTACTAACGCCGGTTATGGTTATTCGGTAATTCGTTGTATTATGAAATGATTAATTAACAGTTGAAACATTCGGCGTATTCGAAAGCGTCAAGTATGTTGTTTGGCCAGTATGCGTACGCGTGAAACAGCGATAATAAAATCTGTTACGGGCGATTCAACGAACGTGTAAAATGGATGACCTGGGCCCGATTAGACAAGTCCGGATTAATTGTTGAAAACGCGTGTACGAATATTACCAGGAAAGGTACAGGAAATATCAGGAAGCGATGAGAGCGCAGGATGCGAACAGAAGGAGACATCCTCCCTCTGATATTTCGAGGGACACGCTGAATGCGAGGCCGTTGAGTATAGGCAGCCCGAAACTCTCGTCCCCGGTGCCGCCACCTCCACCGCCTAGATCGATGATGCAATCGGCCAGCGTTTGCGATCTATCGTCGCCACACATGTGGAATCCCGGAATGCATCAGGTAACTTTCATTAAACCGGACGTCACAAGTGAAATGTTGACCCATGACTTCGAAGCTTGAAAAGAAAATTCGTAGGAAACTTTGTAACATTGATGATGAGTGGAATTTCACCTATATAAATCAAAGAATTATTTTTTCTTGACTAAATTACTTTCTAGGCACAGTCAATGGCGCATCTAGGTGCTGCAGGCATGCCGATAATGTGGTATCCGCCGAATCCACCGTGGGACGTGACCATGGGAGGTTCCACGATGAGTTTAAATCACCCAGCAATGTGGGGTTATCCTATGGGATTCCCTCCGTCACAAATGCTTCCACCGCACTATCCTGGCTCCCTGTCAAGGCCACATAGTCCAGCAAGAAGCGTGAAATCGAGCAGAAGGTCCAGAGTAGCCTCGCCGTCGCCCAGTCTGAAATCTAGAAAGTCACTGGCCAGCAGATCACGGTCGAGAAGATCGCAGGGATCGCCGTCAGACGCCAGTTCCGAAGACTCTGGCGACTCAGACTTCGACGACAGGCTCTCTAAGAGCTCCAGACGTGGGAGTGTGTCTAGGAGTGCGAGGCAAAGAAGCTATCACGAAGACGATGGCTCTAGAAGCTTGCTAAATAGAAATCGTCGCGAGTAAGTAAAAATTTATATAACCAGTAGGTTAGTACCTCCGCGTCATGTTTCCCGAAATTCTTTAAAAAAAATTCCGAATACATGAAACACAACGATTCAATGTTTCTCCAGACGATTAGCTTCCGAAGAAAAGATGACTGGCGCCGAGGATCAATGGTCGGAGAATCACTCTGTCAAACGATATCCCACATCGGCAAAGAGCTATGACGCTGAATTCCAAAAGAACACTGTGAATTCACGGCGACGATACGACCAAGACGAGCGCAGGCCGTCCAGGCTGGATTCGCGATTAGATCGCGTTCAGAACGGTAGCTATCGTCGAAGACAAAGCACAGACGACGACTCCTCGGACAGACGATCCACGTTGCATACGCGATCTAGAGTGACCAGTTCCTCCGACGACCACTTCGAGAGATCGGAGACTGTTTCCCGACGAAGGGACGACGAGCTAGCCCCAAGAAGAGCTTCCTCCGTCAGAAGAGAAATAGCCTTGGACAATCTCGAAAGATCCTCTCGCAGAGACTCTCGAAGATCGTCTATAGACAGCGACACGCAGATTAGCAGAAAGACCCCTTCCAGAGAAGTTTCTAGAAGAATCGAGGAAGCAGAGAGAATCGATCACTCGCGATACATCAGGGACGAAGACGACGTGCCACGTGCTACGAAGAACCTGCAAAGTCGCGAACCGTCGCGCGACAGAGAAATCGTTTCAAGGAGAAACTCCTCGTTGAGAAAGGAATCTTCGGTCGAGGAAACAGAGAGGACTGTCGTCAGAAGACTGTCCCATGATTCTGACAGTCAGAGCACTAGGAAAACTCCATCTCGCGAGTCAGTCTCTAGAAAGATTCGCGAGAACGAGGATCAAGACGTGGCGCGATCTGCGAACAAGAATCCAGAAGAAGCTCGACGAAGATCTATCGAACGAGAGAAAAGAAGCGAAGAAGCATCGGTAAGGAAAATGGAGAACGAAAGAGGTAAACGTTTGGAGATGACGTCGCCGATAAGCAAAGAAGAGAAGCGTGAAACGTCGACGAACGTTGATCAAGAAAGATCGAAGAAAGAAGCAAAGTCGAAAGATGAGTCGAGTGCCACGATGGAAATTCCAAAAGAGGAGTGGGCCTGCGAGCATTGTACTTTCATAAATGACCTGAAGGATCGTGTCTGCGTCGTTTGTTGCAAAACGAGAAGCAGCGCACTACCGCCAACGAGCAACGAAGAGAATCAAGAAGATGTTCCAAGTGACGTGAGTGAAATCCCTAAGATGAATGAATCGGCGACAATTTCCAGCAACGTCGGCGAGCCCAGCCCCGACTTGGAGAAAAGGACCAGCCTGTTAAAAATTTCGAACAGCGAAGAGAGCGGGGACAGTGGTTCCACAAAGAACAAAGGTAGAGCAAGGCGCAAAATCAGCTTTTCCTTTGGTACCAAATCGAATCAGTGATTAAAATTATCGTTGTACCTGTTCTCTTTCTTGAATGTTATTCTCCCTGTCCCTTGTTCCTTCGATCCACGCACTCCGTGTTTGTCTGTCTCTCTTTTCTTTTTTTACGAAAATTACAAAGAAAAAAAAAAGAAATAAGTGAATAAAGAATACGATTGTCCTCTGTCGATGTATATCCTTGGATGAATAATAAAGAGACATGCAAATTTGTTTCGTACACGATCAGTGGGTACCAAATGCATAGTCGTATTTGAAATGAAGCCACTCTCTCTCTCTCTCTCGTTCATTTTCATTTCTCTTCTTTTCTTTTTTTTTTTTTAAGATCATGTCTGGCGCAGTTATTATTCATTCAAGAGGAGCTAGTTTCAAGCACGAGCGTGCATTTGGCCGATGTTCTTTCCATCCAGAATTCGTTGTCGAATTACTCCTCCACTTTGTAGCAAGTCTTGAAGGTTTTAACATGCTTTTAAACTGCAGTTAGATTAACAGAAAAATTCCCCTTCGTCCGATTTTCCAGACGATCCCTTTGGTTTTGTTTGGAAATATAAAAGCCGTATATCCTGCCTGTTTGTACTTTCGATGAGTTTGTTATTTCAATGAGCACCTCGTTCCTTGCACCAATCGTGGCGATTTATACGAAATAATTTCAAAGATGGATTAAACAAAAGTAAATTCTAACAACTTACACCAGTAATGGTAGTATAATTAAAATTTCAAATATTCCACAGTAGACTGCAAATGTTTAAAAGTGCACAGATTTTTAATTGTAATCCGCAATATTGTCAAACTAACGTCTGAATAATGAATACTTAAATTTACAGATTCCGCAACGCTCGAAGAATCCGCTGCAACTGTCGCGCAGAAATCAATCGCTGAATCATCGTCGCCAGTGGTAAGAAACGAGACAAACGAGAATATCGACGCACCAATCAATACTTCGAAAATAAACGGGGAAGAATCAATGAGGCGACCAATGCTTGGGAAAATCCCAAAAAGCCATTCGGTTTCCACCGGAACCTCCCCTCCTCCTCAAAGTATTTCCACTCAAGTAAGGGAGAACATGTCATCTCTTTTTTATTAAAAAAAAAAAAAAAAGAAATAGACCAGTGACACGAGTAAAGGGAGCAGGAGCGAAGCACGAAATATACTTTTCAGACGTACGACTATCTTCCAGCAAGAGGAAGCGCTGGATTCGTAAGAGCTACATCCGCTTCAAAGGGATTATTGTATTATGAGGACAGCGACGCAGAGGTAAAACGAAAGATTAATACGTAGATCTGCGGAAGCGGAAATCTCGCAGTTCGAACATTCACACTTACGTTTACAAACGAGCGACGATTTATAGTTTTATCCTTGATTGATTTTTCGCAACTTGTCAAACTTGTCGTTCGAGAAGAATTGGCGAACGCGTGTCACGATGCAAAAATTTAAACTTTTTCGATGAAAAGAAGGATGCCGAGTGTCTGTTTCAGGAACAAACCAGGCTCGCCAATAGTCCAGACCTGTATCCGCGAACGATTCAGGAGCAGTATCTTCAACAGCTGATCAACGCGCCGAACAGAGATCGTACGCGAAGAAATTCCATCGACTCCGCCCACCTTTATTACCGTTCCAGGGTAAACTTGACAGCTATCCCTCGCGAACCTCGTTGGTTTCTAATCCGACCTAATCTCCAGTGCAATTTAACACACATTGGGCGTTTCGATTGTGCCAGTTTCGTAGCCTCGGTGTGAACGTAGGCAGGAATCTATAATTTATAATCTTTTACAGCGTCGTACATCTACCTATCACTGCAACTGGAACTTCTATGAAAATACTCTTCTCTGCATATTCAAATTTCTCTGCGACTGTGTGGCCATTAATCTAATAAACAACTGGATTTGTCACATTCGTGTCACAGATCGTTCTAGACTAGTAGCTTTAATGTAGTATTAAGCCTGTATAACCATTGTTCTTCCTTGCGTCGTCAAGTCATCTACAAAACGTGCATCTTACGACGATGAAACCCTTTCTACAATTGTCTCTAACGTGCGTGTTCCTTCCTGGTCGGCCGGTTTCGATCGTCAATCGTCAATCGAGTTGTTCTTGCTGTTGCAGGAACCGAGCCAGCCGAGGTTCTTCGAAGCCGCTGGCCCAAGTTCGCAGGGAGTTTCAACGTTGACGAGGCAAGGCTTGGAGATCGTGGAGCTTCTCAGGGAAGCGGAGAAACACGGTTATTCCACGGACGATGTTCAGGTGGCCCTGTCGCAGGGTGCAAGCGACCCGATCGACTGGTTGAAGACGCAGTGGCCCCATTTGGTGGAAACTGTGCAAGTTTTAGCCAGCACTCAGGGGAAAGAGTCGAAGGAAAACAATATCGGGCTGCTTTCCGAGATCGAAGCGAAGGAAGCCTTGAGAGTTGCGAAAGGAGACGTTTGGAGCGCCGTCGCGATGGCTATTCAACGTAGGCAGCTAAAGGTGAGAGTTCTACAGCTAAAGGAGAGAGTTTTTATATTTCCTGGGATGGGAATATTTGTATGACAATTCTTCGACAGTGCGAGGAAATTATGAGGAAAGGCAACTTCGCAATGGCAGAAGTGGTGAAAGCGTTGGAAAATAATTCTGGTGCCGAGGACGCGGCTTTGTTCGAGCTGCAAAAGAATCAGCTCAAGCCGTTCCTGATGAGGATTTGGGGTCCTCCGGTTGGGGTGGAAAACGACGAGGCTGCACCGCGGGAAGGTTAGCAATTAATTCTGC